TCCATCGTTTATATACACGGAATTTTCTAAATATGTTTACTGTTGAAAAACTGTAAGGAACAGTGTACTATCAAAATGTCCTTTACGCGATATTTAATGTTTCATANGCCCATGATTTTCTCTTGTCAGAAAAGTCCTAGAGTTTTAATGTTAGTTTTTTTTTTAGAGAAGCTTCTAAACGTATAGTATAATGGAAAACAGAAATTTTATTTCTGAATCTTGTTTATTCACCGTGATGATCTGTATAGGGTGACCTTTAACAAACGGAGCAACAATTCGATTGACATGTAAAATGTATGGAATGTAAATTACAAAATATTTATAATTTACAATTCGTATATCGTAAATTTTCTTGAAAATATTTGTATCGAGACACCCTATACAAAAATCAGATTTACGACGATCTTTAAACACAGTTTTCCAAATTTCCAAAACAGTGCGGAACGATTCTGCGAAGAAAAGCAGCTCCTCCTACTACACTTCTTTATATTGTGATTTTGTTTAATCGCAGTGTCTTTAGTTGCCTGATATGTCTAACAATAGCAAGAGAGTGTATATCTGTGGATGATACGTAACAAGACTCAAAATTGAAGGGAGCACTATAAAACAAGGATCCATAATTCTTGGTACCGAGCCACAAATTTTTTACAAAACGTTTATAGTGGGTTGTTAACTTTCGTAGCGTTGCGGTAGACGCATTAGATCAGGGATGTTCAACTGTGTCTCCGTTGGCTCCCAGATCGAGTCGGGAGCTAAACTAGAGCTACCAGACCACACCCTACGGCAGTACGCCCCGCCCAGAGCGTCCCACGCGACGATCGCGCCGCAAGGACGTTATCAGTGACTGAGGAATAGCCAATGACGGCGCTCTAATTTGCGGTAGGCGTGACTAGGCCTCCTTGACCTTTGTTGACACTGTATACCTTGGAATAAATTTGATGGAGCTAATAACATTCTTGATATTTTCTTTATTTTTATCTTTTTTTTATAAAATGCAAGTGGACGTATTTTCGTACGGATTGTATCTCACTCTGTGATCACGCCCAATTTATAGCACTCTAGAAGAAGCTAGACAATCTATCTTGCCTAGGCTTTGTGTAAAGAGCTCTAGGGGAGGGGCTGATATTGTTGTAATAAGGTTCTTCCTTCTCTGAATGAACAATATGGGCGTGGTTTGTTCCTCATACTAAGCAGAGATTATTGGAAGATTGTAGTTTCGTTACTTCTCTATGAAGCAAATTATAAGTGGGCGTGGTTTTGTTGCTCTATCTCTACAAAGGACAATAACCATTGCCCTCTATTAATGGCTTCCACTATTCAGAATGTCCAGAAAGAGTCTAGTTTATTGCTGTCTTTGCTGCAATACTTAACTATGAGAGGGCGAGTTTTCGTTTTCTCTCTCTCTAGAGAATTGTCAGTTATTAGATTTGTCAGATTGTTATTAGAATTGTCAGATTTCATTCTTCCACAGTGTACGCAATGCCGTTGGGCGTGGTTTCTTCAACTCTCCGGGTAGGAAGCGATAAGTGGGCGTGGTTTAGCTACTCCTACTGCACAGAGAGCCTTGGAAGGACTATTGTGAATAGACTATGAAAGGATATAGTTTTGCTAGTTCTACTATACACAGTGCTCTAAAATAGGATTGTCAGTCACACCAGTGGAATAGTCGAAAGGGGCGTGGCCATGATGCTCTCAGGTGTCTCGTGGAGCCATCTTGGCCCCTGGAGTCACAAGTTGAACATGCCTGCATTAGACAGTAGCAAAATTTTGCAAATTATGTAGCGCTTCCCTTGCTGCAGCCCTTTTCAAGTACCAGCAATAGCATAGACAAGCTGTGACCAGATACGATATAGAATATTGACGACATTATGTGCAGTGCCTGGTACCATATTTTGAGCCTCGATTTAGAGGTCTGTCTTGACACACATGTGCACGAAGAACAATGTTTTCGTCCTTTTAGATGTGTTAGAATGCTTAATTTCTTAACGTTAATCGACATGGACTGCTCAAAGCTTTCTTGATTTTCGTTCTCCGCTTCTAATAATCGAACCACGTAATACTCTGCCCCCGTTTCCCCCTCTCAGTGTTTTTCTACTGTCATCGACGTAACTTTAAACGCACCTACGCCTTCGTTGTCATCTCTCCTTCAATCTCGCCACGTTTCCTGCACCGTCTCATCGACTAACTACGTTTATTAACTATTTTCGTCTACAGGAAAACAGAGCAGGCTGTCTTGGAAAACAATCGACACGAACATCTTAATTAAAAACATTGTTGTTAATTTAAAATTACGTCCAAATTACGGGGCAAAAGAATTAATTGGAGTGAACAAAAAATGATTACGGAGTGATCTGAAACGAAATTAAATATTAACTAAAATGGGTATTTTTTAAATATATTACACGTTATGAAAATTTATGATACTTGTTATTATATTTTTTAAATAGAATAATGCAAGATCAGATGAATTTCAATTCGGTAAAATTATTAAGATCAAATCAGAAATTTTGATTCTTACCGAAGTAAGTCGACTATTCTCCCGGACACTCTGTGCACAAGATATTATGCAGGGTATTAAAATGAAGTTTTGTTGCACTGTTTACAAATAACGAGCACAAAGATGGTATAAAGTAAGTAAGAAATATTATTCTATACAAACGTCAACGTGAAAACAATATTTTCTCAGCTGAAATGCCAATTTCTATTTCAGTACTGCGAATGACAAGTGGTATTATACGTTTCTTTCTATGCACACAATGAAATTGTGGCAAATAAAAATAACACATGAAATTACACGAAATAGAAATCTCATTAAAATGCCAGCAAATCGGAGCAATGTAGAATTTCAGAAGAATTAAATAAACATGAAATTTATTGAGTATCAAAATAATATAAAATTGCTGAAATTATAGAAATGAAAATTTGATTAGCACTGAAAATCTCGTATTTTGAAACGACCGGTATGTGTATCGAATTGCCGGGCTAGTAATAACCGTCGAGCCAAGATGATTCCGTTCCACTGACTTAGTATAATATTTCGGCGAACGTTAGTCACCGGTTTCTTGATAGTTTAGTGACTCACAAGGGAGAAAGCATGGTTCTTAAAATACATCAAAATGTCACAGATGTTGTTCATTATATAGTTTTAGATACTACGAGGTTATTCTACCGAAGACAGATTCATATATCCGCATACAAATAATAAATAACAATAATGAGTTAAATTAAGTATAATAAAATTAATAATAATGAATTAAACTGAGGATAATAAAATTAGTAATAGCGAATTACATTGAGGGTAATAAAGACAATGGAATACAGGGAAGGATCCATCTATATACACTACATCACACACACACATATATTATGTATAGACTGACACAAAACGTAAAAAGTGAGTTATTCGTAGTACAGAAGTATAAATTTTCATTCCATTGTACTTAAATAGACATGACTTCGGTGTCTCTTATGTTTACAATATTAAGAAATGGTAGAACAATTGTTTAATACTCTGTCAACTAAACGAAGACAAGAAAGGAATAACATAAACGAATTTCTAACTTCTGCATACTTTCTAGTTAAGGCTGCTTAAGATCTATTAACACGCTTGCCACTGCACTCTACTGACTAACATCGAGTTCTCTCGTATCACCGAGTTTAATGTTTTACCTTTTCACTTCATATTAACAAGTCTACGATGCTACGACTAACTAAACCCATCTAGAAATTTTGTGAACGCTTTTCTCCATGCGATTATATACTACCTTCAGTGAATTCTGTTCATTGTCATTCTACGATTTAACTGTTACAAAATATAGCTGTGAATGTGAGTCTAAGAAATCTCCTTGCAACATCGCTTCACTAACATTTCCGGTGTCGAATGCATCGCACACCCCCACCATGAGTTTTAGAACACCCGATAATTTTGTTGGAAAAAAATGCTGTTTCTCGAAATTTTCTATTTTCTTCTTTATGAAGCGATGAATTATCAGGTTACGAAAATTGTTATCGAATGTTTCTGTGTTTAATAAGTTTTAGACCAATTTTTCAGATATCGTTGTCCTTTTGTTAAGCATTTTTTCTTAAATTCTGAAAATCTGCGGAATTGTGTTGAAATTAAAATAGAATCGAATATTAAATATCTCAAAAACTAGAAATCATAAAAGAAAAAATTATTGAAATTATTGTCAAAAAACTCGATTCTGTATATATTTATTATGCAGCACAACCTAGTTCTACTGTTAAAACTGGAGCTCCATTTTAAAACAGGGAGAAACCTGTAGCGACATCTACCGATATCAAGAAAGCTGCTGTAACCTAATCATCGAATTTAAAAGACCAATTAAATTTATTCAAATATCAATTACTATCATTTATGTTCGATACAAGAACTTCTAAACTTTATTAAAAAATAAAGTTTAGAAGTTCTTGTATCGAACATAAATGATAGTAATTGGTATTTGAATAAATATGTGAACCACGAACACCTTAACCTAAAAATCGGTATATAGCCACCGGATGTCCTAGAACTTATGGCAGGGGTGTGCATGGCAGCGAATTTCGATGAAAGATCGCGGCCATTAATAAGATCTTACGACGAATTTAAATTCTCGCGGTTCTGGTACCAGTGGACCAATCGAGGGCCACCGTCGCGTTTCCGGTCTAACCGCGGTTACAAATGTAAACGACGCAGGGATCAGGTACAGTCCTCGACAGAGGACCAAGAGGAAAATGAAAAAACGAGAAGGAAAAGCGAAACGAAGTCACAGGGAAATTAGAGAAGAAGAACGTAGGTCGTTGCTCCTGTACCGTTGTTTCTCTTTTATTATCCCCTCCCCTCTCTGATTTTGTTGAAATGACGACAGATATCCGAGGATCTGAACGGATCTGTGCGTGAGCCGAGGAAAACTGAAAATTCCAACCGTACCGTAGACGAGCCAGTTTGTTTCCGAACGGTCCGTAGTCGCATAGTGTTTTGCAGTTATGATTTCTATTTGCAGGCAATTTTTGCTAGTAGCATACCCGAGATAATAGAGCTCGTAGGCAGTAGGTCCAAGTACAGCGGCGAATACAAGCGGGAACACGGAAAGAGGTATTATAAAAATTACATCTTTCAATCCTGTCTCTATTTTGCCTATATTAACTTTTATTACTTTCATTCTTTATACGTCTATATCTATCTATCTCTATATATATGTATATATTTACATATTATGTATACATATACTTTCTAACCTTGTATCTGTCGACGTCACTCGCGAGGAACACGTGCGTTACACACACACAAACACAACGTGCAAGGGTACATATTTATGCGTGTGAGTGTACCGGGTGACCAAAAACCAGTGGTTATCGGTGCTGGGGGTTCGAATTCTCACAAAATGTTGCGCGGATGGACGTCGAAGAAGGGAGTAATTGTTTATAATAAAGAAATTTATATTTTTGTTCGTGTCAACATATTCTATTTATTGAGACGATAATAAAATGTCAAGGAACCATATGCCGGAAATGAACTGTGCCTCAGAATCAGTGGTTGTAGTTTTCGGAAGTTGCGAAGTGGGACTTAAGAGTCCTAATCCCAGTCATTGATTAGGTAATACTTGGATTAGATCACTAAGTGTGTTTCTCTACCCGTCCTCGGTAGAGATTGTCGATTGTAGATTTTTCTGTACTTGTCAAATCACTAACTGCATTTCCCGTTGTCTTCACTAGAGGTCACTGACCATACTTACTGACCATTACCGACAGTACTGTTCACTGTTGGGGTCACTGACCGTGTCTCTAAATGTTTCCTCTAGTGGTCACTGACCATATTGTAAATGTTGCCCCAGGGTCACTGATCGTAGTTTCCACTGTTTCTACTGGAAGTCGATTAAAATTATTGCTCTCGTGGAATGTGCAATAATATAAGTTACATTATGTCATAGTAACTTGTATGTTCAGCCTTGACTATACAGACAGTGACTATATTTCTCGCTCTTCCCAGCAGAATTTTCACTATAACTTCCATTATACTAACCTGGTCACTAACCATATTTTCTGCTACTTCCACAAAGTTCACTGATCATACTTTGTATTTCTTCCTATAAGGGTCACTGACCATATATTCCACTAGTTCCTACAAAGATCAGTGACCATATTTTCTGTTACTCCTTACAAAGATCACTGACCATATTATCTGCTACTCTGATCACTGACCATACTTTGTACTAGTTCCTATAGAAATATGTAACGATACTTCTAACTGCATTACTGGTAATTTTCAATTATCTATTTTACTGTTCCAATTAGGTCACTGATCGCTGCTTTCAGTATTCTCTCGGTCAGTGACCGCGTTGTTACTTCTAACTAGAATTTTGCAAAGTTTTGCAACCTTCCTCCGTTCATTTTGAAGAAAAAGGCAATATATTTACGACATATGATTTCTTCACAACTAATTACACACTTGCCAAGTAGATGATGCTGGACAATATATAATTTTCATTGTTATAAACAATATTGTTCCTTTCAGACCAGCAACGTATTGTGGTGAATTACTTCTTGTAGGGATGACTACTTCGTTTTTGACACCTTGTATAGAATGAAACATGAGAAACACACAATTAATATCTTTACAAGTTTACGAGTTACGGAACTACAGTCCAACAAATACATGCACATTACAAAATCAGTAACATTATTCCCTCGAAAATCTTTAATCGAGTTAAATGTTACTATTTTTACTTTGATTTAATATAACCTTTATTTAGACATACTCTCGGATTTTGTGAACATTTGTTATTCAGTTAGAATTAGGATTAGGGTGAAGTATGGTTGGGAATGGATATTTACAAATTCGAGAACATAATTTCATAATTATTGCCGATATTATATGATTATTATATATTATTATTAAGAAATCAAAGCTAGGACTTATCGAATTGTTGGGCGAAGAAGTAAATTACTATTTCACATTTATTCTGGCTTATAATTTCTGTAAACGGTAACCATAAGAGATAAATACGGTAGACAGAATTTAGGTTGCAAACTCATTGCAGAAAAAAAAGACAATAGTATTTGAGAATTTATATAGACAAATTTTTTAATAATATCGATAATGTATGAACCTCAAAATTGAGTAGTCTGCTACTTTTACGTTTCACACTGAATTAATATCTAGTATTTAATTGAATATTACTTAAAATTCAATTAATTGGATTTCAAATACAACTAATAAAGCATTGCTGACATGACATAGTACAATAGAAAAATCAGTCGAACAATTACTTACTGAAATATTAAGAAGAATATTTTATTAGTTAAAGATTTTGCTGAAGTTTTTTACAAAAATTAAAGGTAAACATTTCTGAAAAATTCAAATGCCGAATGTATCGAGATTTACAAAGCGAGATTTTCGAGGGATTATATTTCAAGAATTTCCCCCGTCGTAAAACTCGGAATGCAGTAGTATATAACGAGTGAGAAATATTTGAGTCATAATTAGTAATCTAATACGTTAGTATAACGATGGATTGAGAGTTTGTTTAGAAATGATTAGAACAATTTAACAGATTTGGTTTGATCATAGTAGCTTAGTGATTATTAATAATAATTAGTTCACTCACAATTAGTCTGAATGAATATTAACAGTCGACGAGATAAGTATAAACATAGAATGGAGCTATTAATAGGGAAGCGGGTATAATCACATGTACGTGGGAAGAACATTATTACAAAAAGAGTTACTTGCAATTCTTAATTATCTGTATTTATCAAAACAGTTCTTCGG